TCACTTCCATCTCACTCCATTCTCGTCAGTGATGGGCTCAAGACCTCCCTCCGAAGAGGCAAAATAATGATTGTGTCATCAAGCAAACGAAGCTTTGGGCACCCACGAAACCTTGCAACAACGATGGAAAGGAGCGTTTAAATGGTCTTCACATCTCCAGCAGTATCTTCCCCAAAATCTCTTCAAAAGAGCTATTGACGCCTCTCCTGCCAAGCCTGAGCTATGCCTCTCCGCTCGGATTCTCAATGAGTGGACGAAGTTCCGAGATCAGAGTTCCGACCCGAAACGCCGGGTGATGAAATGGAGCCTGCGATTTTGTGTGCGTTTTGCTTGGTGAAAGCCACCCAAAACCAGCGAACCCGCCACGCGCGGCACTGCCCCTCACCCAGAAAAGCGTCGTGCTTCAAGGCCTGCGCAGCCGAAGGCCGCAGTGACATGTTCCGCTGGGTCATGGCAGACACCAAGGATCCAAGCTCAGGCATCTCTGATGGAAAGCGCTTCCAAGGTAGTTGGAGTGCAAGCCCGGCAGCCTTGTCCTGCCACCATATGGAGAAAGGATTAAGGTGCCACTCCATGAAGGCAAACAAGACTCTCAAAAGAATGAATGCGGGTGATGCAAACCGTTGACGTAAGCATCATTAGCGAAACCTCTAGAGGGCAACACCCTCTGCACCCAGTTCTCACTGGCACCTCCTCGTTCTCTCCCGTGGTCTGCAACACGCCGATGACATCGCCACTGGGCACCTGGCCAATCATCAGCTGAAAGAAGACGATGCCCATGCTGAAGATGTCACCCTTGGGATACCACCATTCCTGAAACCCAAAGGCGTCGGCGTCGGCTTCAGTGCATGGGAAAAAACGGGCTGAAGATCAATCAGATCTGAGATCGGATCTGGAGATGTTTCTAGGGTGAAAGATGGCTCGACATGGGGCTCAGAAAATCCAGATGGTTTTCCACACCACCGTTGGGATCGGTAGGGTTCGATGCAGGTTTCTTGAGATAGGGTTTTAGATGTTTATGGAGAAGGCCATGGATTCAGTGGAGTTAGAAGACAGACATGTGTGACATATGGAGAAGCATCTGTGTAGATGAAGCTTCATGTAGTTGGGCGTGACACGTGAGTGTTCCTCGAGCAGTTCCACGATGTTTCCTGTGCTTTGAGACACTGATTTCTTGTTGGCTCTGTTCTGTTCAAGCAATCAGGATGAAGTCTCTTCTTACGTGAGGAGATCACACTTTCCGTTCTGAAACTCTTGCTTTGCTTGAAAAGGGACAGATCGAAGGACCAAACTTCAAATTTTATCAAGACCACCCTGATTCCTGGAGTGCACCCTCCGGAAGCTAAACACTCCTTCATTTACATGATGAGAAAAGCGCAAGGCCACCAAGAGGGAACAACGCGGATGAAACTCCGCGGCCGACCCCCCGAAGCACTCGTGATTCCGAGAGAGGTGCCCTTTTTGGGTGGAGAAAAAAGCCCACTCAGCTCCACTCGTCTGAGTGCGACTCCCTGCTCCCCCCTGAGCTGTCGAGGCTCGGTTTCCCAAGTCTCCGGCGGAATGTAGCCTAGGATGTGAGGCTGGAAGCGCCAGCGGCAGCGGTGCACTGACGCGGGTCATGGAGGAGAGGATTCTGTTTAGGCAACCGGAAAAATAAAGACTTGGGGGACCAGCAACCACAGCATGATCGTTTACTTGTGCTGGAAAGAGAACAAATTGCAAAACCATCGAAACCATGTTACACTCCTCTGCGCATATCCATGCATATCCCAGCATCCCAGAATGCGTGCAAATGCGTACGAAAATATTTGAAAAGGAAAATATGAGTTCGGTTCGGAGGTCCTTCGCTTTGCGGCCATCTCACCACCAGAAACTCGTCTCATCCAACATTAGATGCCAAACCTGTGTGACCAAAGGCCTTTTTTCATGCAAAATGCATTCCAAATCGATTGCCCCATTCCATCGGAGACAGCCTCCAGTCCCGATTTCCATGGGTTCTGTGGGTCTTGTCGGGCTGACCTCTTTTTTAAGGAGTGAAACAGTGAAGTTCTCAACAAAATGTTCCAAAGCAATCAAGTCATGTGATCGCTACATTCTTTAAAACCAAAAAAAGTGGTATATGCACATATATGTGTATATATATATATGATAATGAAGGGGTCTTGGAATCCCATGTCTGCGGGGTTTATGGTTTTCAAGAGTTTACATGAGTGTGATCTCTGAATCTTCGAGTGATCTGAAACAGTGATTTGCCGTGATTTGCCTCACGTTTTGAGGACTCTCCAGTTCAGATCTCCACCTTTACCGTCCTGGACACGCTGTGAATGTGGCTATCAAACCGTCTGCCTTCGTTATGAGATCACCGTCTCTTATGGAGCTTCCCTCAGGACCTCACCTTGGGAGCGGCCAGCTCGAGTTCACCTTCCGAGGGAGCGGCCTAGCTTTCATCGAAAAAAAGACGTGCCAAGGTGATCCTTGGCCAATGATACCAGGCTCAGCAACCCCATTTCAGGCTCCGCAATTTGTTTTTAGAGCACCAAATCAAGCGCTTGATGGACAGTCCAACGTTCAGTGAAAGCCATTTTCTAGCTAGTGGATCCCTAACAAAGTTGAATGTGATTTGCAGAAAAGGATCTACTTTGGGTCACTGTAGCCAAGCACAACCCCCTTTGGCTGGTGATTCGTAGCCTATGAGTCTGTTATCATCCCCTTGGTCACCCTGTAGTTCGAGGCATCTTCCTTGCTGGTCCCACTATAAGTGACCACGGAAATCCATTAATCTATGCAGAGTTTTCAGAATCCCACTGCACGGTGACATGTCCTGTTTAGAGCAAGAGCTCTTGGAAAAATCCACTTGATTTATTGGTCTCATGTCTCATCTCCCCAAATCCACTCATCCAAGAACTCATCGACGCTCTCCCAGGTCAAGCCGCCGGCCGTGCCGCTGGCTCCACTGGAGGTGGAAGAGAAGCCCTCAGCCAGGCCGAAATCAATCAGCACCACGCGAGGATCCTCACAATCCCTGCGCAGGGGGCGGCCCGGGTGGAAATCGGCGAGAAGATGAGCGCGGTTGGCGCGAGTGTGGTCGTCGGCGTGAGCGAAGACGAGGGGACCAACCGAGGATGCATCTGGAAGTGCTTGGGCCAGCATGGGCCAACTTGTTGCGGGACCTCCATCCACTCTGGCTGGATCTGAGGGTGAGGTCGACTGTGGACGGTTTGAATAAGTTCCAACTGTACCGATTCAATTTAATCCCTTGGGCACAACAAAGACTGAACAAACCAAAATGCTCAGTGTCCGAAAGAGAATCATAGTCTGGCGCCACAGGATCGCGAAAAGGTTACATCCTACCGTGAAAACCGCTCAGACCCCGCTCATGTTCTTGCTTTCAGACAAGAAGAATCAAAACAATTTTTCAAGCTCTTCAACAAATGTCACTCCGCATACAAGCTCCAGCATTCTCCCCAAAATTGCATTCCCCTAAGGGTGGCCTTTCTGCGAGCATGATGTTCTCTTCCTTGATGTCACAATGCATCACCTCCGCTGACAACACTGCCAAGCTGCTTTTTCGTGTTGTCCGTCTTTGAACTGGAAAGAACATGGAACGATGGAGTGTCTGCACGCTGCTTCTACTGGTGATGGATGATGAATTCTGATGATGGAGAATCTGCCTTTTAGTATTTTTGGTCCTAAAAATTGCACTCATCATCGTGCTTTCTTCTGCCCCAGATTCTGCAATGCAGAATCCGCAGAACGTCCCAGGTCATTCCTGAAAGGACCTTGGCCCTGAACAGTGCTTTTTTCTGGATGGCAAAAACAAAAAAACCTGTGTGACCAGAGTTCAGAATGAAAAGAAGTTTCGTTTCATGAAGTTGTCTTTTCATAGCCAAAGAAGTTCCACCCGGATGACCGAGGTATGGAGCCGAGGTATGGAGCCGCACCCCGGTTTGCCGGAAGCCAAACGGCGGACGGGGATGTCCTTTTTCGGTTTTGGAGAAACAAAGGAATTCCGAACGAAACAAGAAGGGATTGGATGAAACAAGGTTTGCAAGAAGTGTCGTTGATGGAAACGTCGGTTCTTTTGGGGGTGAACCAGACGACCTCGACCTCTTGAGAGGACAGGGAGCTGTGGGGCTGTGCTAGCTGGGTGTCAAGAGCTTCTCCATGCATCAAGTCAAATCAAATCGCTCGAATTCTGGACATCACTTCTATGGCATTCCAGATATGCAAATTGATCTACACTCCCTGCAACAAGCACATAAATACACCAAGGGGGGGGAGAAGTTAATGTCCCTGCTGAGGTCATGTTCATCTCAGTAGCTTGTATCTTTTTCAGATGTAGTTAATTGAAAAATCAAATGAATGATGTATCATCAGAGCTTCTGGAAGGCAACTTGCATGTTTCGATGAAGTGGCGATTGAAGCAGCTTTGGTCAGTCCTAAGTCCTATGCCTTCGGAAGCAAAAAGAATGCTCTCAGTTTCAAGATGAACCACCCAACCCTTGATGACCATGTTGTGCAACCACAAAAAAGACTTGGGGAAAAGGGTGGACTCGGTTTGGGTAACTATGTCGTTTCTTGCGTAACAGGAGAACTCTGCTCCTGCACCGAGATACATCAACCCCAAGCAGCCGGAGATTCAAACAGCAGCATGTGAGCTGCTGTTTGGAAGAAACAGCCGAGGGACGGCTTGAGAATGAAGATATTCCAAACCCTCCAGGCACTGATAAAAGATCCTGAGCTTGGCGGTTCTGGATTGAAGCCTCCCAGCACACATAGGTGAAGATCCCAACAATCAAATCCACCACTGATCTATAGCCAACATGAATGCTAACCTATAGGTGGTCACGTGGCAACGTGGTTCTTTATTGGACACCCATTCCAAGCTCGAGAGGGCATGTACTTTCCTGTCGCGGAACCGAGGCTCCCCCTCCACCAATCCTCGCTCATAGAGATCCCCTGGTCGTGGGCGCGCTTCCCCAGCTGGGTCAAGTCCCCACCGAAGTAGGGCTCGTTCACCAGGTAGAAGAACTCGGAATCCTCCACCACACGGGCGAGGAGCAGAATCCAACCAGACGGTGCGACATGGGGCGAGGAGACACTGGGGGTGACTGAGAAAGACAGGAAAATCAAAGAACCCGGTGGCGACCGGCGAACGTGCCGGCGTATGGATTTTGTAGCTTTTTGGATGATAGGCAATGATAGGTGTTTTGCTGTCATTCTAGTTGCCTTCCCAATCTGCCTAGGCACCTCAAACAACCACCTTCAGCCAGCGCAAGAAAAGAAGTCACTCGCTCAAACGGTGTCTCAGTCTCCAAAACAAGCACCTGGCTGAGAGGCTTCAGATGGTTCTAGTACAATGTTAAGTTCCTTTGTTGGATATATTCTTGATACAAAACGATACCTGAAATCCGTCCTAACATACAGGGTGACAGGGCCAAATTCATCTCTAAAAAGGCAATCCTGGCTTCGAAAAAGGTGTTTCTAAAGCTTAGCCAATAAGATTTTTAGAGATCACGGATTGAAATCTTAAAAATAAATAAATATATAAATGAATAAATAAATAAACTACTCTTTCAGGAACATCTGTTGGACTTTAGAACTCTGTTGGAACTACAGACCCTCAGGAACTACTTACCACAAACTCTCAGGAACTACGTGCAGGAACTTCAGGAACTACTATCACTTTCACAATCTTCTGCATTCTTGCCGAACATATCAAATCCCCGGAAAGCATCCACCTGCATGTGTCCTGTTCGGAATGTGTTTCTCCCTCTAAGACCCAAGTCGCTGCTGCGATCAACAAGGGAAACTCAAGCACTTGAACCTGTCAGTCAAAAAGACTTCACCAACTAATCTTGAATTGGCTGCAGCTGGTGTGGTACCAGACCAGTTCTCTTCATGAAAAAACAGGGGGAAAAACCAACGCCGAAACCCGCAGGGCTCCGCGAAGATCCGCCGACCTCTTCGTCCTCACGGACTCCGGGAACCCGGTGAACGCCGCTTCGGGGACGCGGGACGCGAACGGGGCTCCTGGAAGACCTCAAAGGTCTTGGCCACGTTCTTGTGACAGAAGTCTTTCATCAAGGTATACCTGAATGGACGCTGGAAGTTGGATTCTTACAGTGCTTGAGGTGGGTGTCCATTTTTCGTCGAGTCTACTTGCTGTAACGAACCGGAACACCCAAGCCGCGTGTGTTTGGTGTTTCGGACGGAAAGCAAAGCTTGGACACTTGGTGACCAAGTCGGGGTGCCGAAGATTTTGAGGGGGAATGGAGCGACGAAAAAGGACACAAAACATATGTATAACGGTTCCCCGTGTAATGTAGACTGTTGATTCACGTTTATGTTGATTAAGTTTTAAAAAAATTGTAATAAAGAAATAAGTATTTTGTATATATATATATATTTTTTATGTTATGGAGAGATGTTGCATCTTCAAACGGGGAGAGGAGGTGTTATTACGGATCTCAACAGTCTACATGGCTCAAGTCCCTGTCCCTTGGGACTGTGAAGAAGTTCGTATGGTACCCTTTAAGGCCAAATTTGGTCACCATCCAAATGGCCGATTCGTTCACCACCAATGCTCCATAGTCTATCTGCACTTGGAAGGCCGGTTAGACTCTTGATCGATAAACTCCTCATATTAGAAGAGGATGTTCCAATTCAAAGGGAGGGGTTATTGATCAAGAGTCTACATTATATAAAGCCCTTTCTGGGATTCAGCAGTAACTAGGAACAAGAAGCTACTAGTAACCGGGGCATCGCTACTAGTAGCAAGAAGCTACTAGTCCACCGTACAGGGGGCCGATCGCCGCTTCAGCAGCACGAAGCGGCCGATCGCGATTTCCCCCTCCCCGACGAAGCTGACTGTCTCTTGTGCGACTCGTAAATGGATGGAGAGTAGATGGCACAGGGCCCCAAGTTTGGTGGTTTATATGGATGTCCATCTGTGTAAGACATGTAGGGGTGCGTCCCATCGAAGCTCTCTGAAGCGACCAGTATCCCTGTAGTAGAGAATAGGGAACTGAGCCTTGAATCCATAGATACCGAACAGGGTCCAGCCAGCCTCGTTCCTTGCGAGTCGTCGCGCCGGTCAGTTCTTTGGAAAGGTAGAGAAAGGACCAGAAACTCCGAGGTTCGTAGGTCTGTGGTGCTAGTGAGCCACACACGGTCGTATCGGACAACCAAGGAAAGGAAGACAAAATACATTCGTCCAGGTACTCGGTGAGCAAATCCTCCAAGGTATCCTCATCACCATCTGCTTTGCTAAAGAACTTCAGGCAGTAAGGCACTTCGTCATAGGTGCATAAGTACCTCAATGTGTCGTCAAAACTGGAATCAGCAGAACCCGAAGGCTGAACATCCACCAAGACAGGTATCCGAAGAGAATGCAGGCGCGAACAAGAGTGTCCCTATCTCTGCACCTTAAACAGGACTGATTTGGAATCTTCAGATGTCTGGGTGAGGGTGAGGGTGCTATCAGAAATTTAAACGATGCTTTCTCTCCAATGCAATATGAACATATATGATCATCATATATGAACAATGAAAAGGTTGTGTTTATGCGCGCAAGCAGCTGAGCTTGGGTTGTTTTCCTCAAGAGATCTTCAGAAAAAGTCGTTCTTGCCAAACCCATCACTATGGTTCAACCTCCCCCAACCTGCGCAACCGATTCCGGTTGCGATTCTTCCGACCACATGACCGGTGTGTCTCAACGAGACCGGTGGCGGGCTACAGAGTGAACGCGAGTGAACGTGTCTCAACTCCTTTTTGTTCGCTCCCTCTTTACAAGGGACACCCCACTCCCAGGTTCATTCTTCCAGGGACTCAGGGACAATGCTCTTTTCTATCAAGGATGGTACTTTGGGAGTTCCACGTCAACATTTCGGTCAAGCCACTGAGCACGGACCTGGAGGAAGCGGGCTTTCGGCTTTGGGGTAGGATTCCCACATCTCGCGCAAGATTTTTGCCGCCCCAGACTAAGACCCAGGCGTCCCGATCCCCTGGAAGAAGGAATAAAAAATAGCCACTAAAATACACCTCCCAAAATGGATGTTCTCAAACCAGAACCACCGGACCAGTCCGTCCGTTGGCATTCCAAGGAGCATGACGCCCTGACCACCTCGTCCCAGCTCTCGTTGGACCACATAGCCGCTCATGGCTAACGACATCTCAGGGACTTCCATCGGCAACTGCCGGGCGCCCAGCAGTTTTCGCTTGTGGCCTCGGTGTTGTGAGGTGGGCGACAAGTCTGGCCTCTGTGAATTAAGGTGGGCGACATGTCCAAAGCGAGAATTCGGACGAAGCATTCCAACTGGACATAGGCCAATCTATGAAAGGAGGCATTCACGGTACTGATTCCAATGAACTGCAAGCGAACGGAGCCCAAAAAGATACAAAAACATGAAAGCCCACCAACAATAGGAATCTCTCCAGGTCTACCGGGAGGTCCCGTCTCTCTCTCTCTCT